GGAGAGCTCGTGCAAAGGGAAAGAGGCTAGAACGAAGATGGTTCCGCAGGAGGAGCATATGGAGATTGCTCTGGTGGGAGGAGAGTCGGAGAAGGTGACGAGGGTAGGTAAGGAGATGGGAGAAGACATGAAGGTACGGTTCAAGCAGAAGATGTGTATAGCTCATGCCAAGAAGGTGAAGCAGAGGCAGTTCCAGGTGGGTGACCATACATCATCCAGAATGAGTCTGCAGGAGGAACTTATGAGCTGAAAGTTCCAGAGGGTAAGGTCTTTTCTAGGCTTTGGAATATTGCAAATCTTAAAAAATATTATTGCTAGTTTGATTGTAACTCTTGAGTTGTTTTTGAAACACTTATGATTTGGTTACTGAATCAATGAAAACTTTGAGGTTGTTCATGAAACATCTGTGTTTTAGCTGGTGAATCAATGAAAATTTTGTAGTTGTTTATGCAATATGTGTGTTTTGGGTTGCTGAATGAACTAAGTATGGATGACATGCTTATGAATTAAGAAGCATTTTTGAGCAAAATTTTCTTTTTGCTAAGTGTAAACAGCTCGGAAGAAGATGATAAAGTGTGACGGCTTAAGGCCGAGCTCTTGGAGCTCGGGTGCTGTTCAAAAGGTGTGACGGCTTAAGGCCGAGCTCTTGGAGCTCGGGTGCTGTTCAAATGGTGTGACGGCCTAAGGCCGAGCTCTTGGAGCTCGGGTGCTGTTCAAAATGATATAACGGCTTAAGGCCGAGTTCTTGGAGCTTGGGTGCTGTTCAAAAGGTGTGACGGCTTAAGGACGAGCTCTTGGAGCTCGGGTGCTGTTCAAAAGGTGTGACGGCTTAAGGCCGAACTCTTGGAGCTCGGGTGCTATTCAAAATAGTGTGACGGCTTAAGGCCGAGCTCTTGGAGCTCGGGTGCTATTCAAGGGGTGTGACGGCTTAAGACTGAGCTCTTGGAGCTCGGGTGCTGTTCAAAACGGTGTGACGGCTTAAGGCCGAGCTCTTGGAGCTCGGGTGCTGTTCAAATCGGTGTGACGGCTTAAGGCCGAGCTCTTGGAGCTCGGGTGCTGTTCAAAATGGTATCACGGCTTAAGGCCGAGCTCTTGGAGCTCGGGTGCTGTTAAAAATGGTGTAACGACTTAAGGTCGAGCTCTTGGAGATCGGGTGCTGTTCAAGATGGTGTGACGACTTAAGGCTGAGCTCTTGGAGCTCGGGTGTTGTTCAAAGGGTATGATGGCAACGCCGAGATCTAACGAGCTCGGGTGTCGTACAAAGACGGTGCTGGTGTGAGGTCTTGCTCATTTTGAGTAACAACTACTCACGCATAGTGTGCTAAGTAGACGAGCTATTGAAACCGAGCTGATGAAGGTTAATGACCGAGCTTGTTTCAAGTAACCCAACTACTCATGCGCACTGATCTAAGTAGTGGAGCTATAAAAACCGAGCTCATGAAAGTGTATGAATGAGCTCATTTCGTGTAACCCAGCTATTCATATACATTGTGCTACGAGGTTGAAACAGTAAAACCCAACATATGAAGATGATGTGATCAAGCTCATTACGAGTAATCTACCTAGCAAGAGATAGTTGTATACTTGTGTTAAGATATATTGAATGAATGAGCTATTTGTACTTAGCACGAATTTGAATTCAATAAAAAGAGTTCATAACATATCACACCGAAGATGAATATCCCAAAAGTAGAGTCATCATACTAACAACTCGGATTGAAAGAGAGAAATAGTTCGGATTTTCAATCGCATCTCGGTCGGAGAATTACAACAGGAGCTCGGTGGTCGGGATAATTCAACCATAGTTTGTTGGGATAATCACTTTGTATGGGTAGATCGTCAATTTTGGTTAAGGAACTGTGATCAGGAGCTCGGTAATTTGGGTTTTATAATCAGTTCGGCCAAAGAATAGTGAGCAAGAGCTCGGCAGTTGGGGATTTTGGGTCGGAATTCAATTGATAAGCTGCGAATGAGCTCGATAATTGGGATCTTCTAACCAGTTCGGATATGAGATCGTAATTAGAGATCGGCGACTTCGTTATGTTGCAAAAGGAGATCGGTAATTGGGATACTTTAACTTGCTCGGTTTATGAATTATGGCAGGAGCTCGGTACTTGGAAATTGTCAAGCGAATGTACGGAGTTCGAAAATCATATTAATAGCTCGGAAATTGGGGCATTTAAATCATGGCTCGGTTAAATGGATCGTCCATCTGAATATATGAAGCAGCTCGGTGGCAAGATCTCGGTATTTTGGAGATCCTAAATGTAACTTGGCCATTTGAAACTCTCAACGGCTCGGTTAATGAATTGAAGCAAAAGGTTCGGTTGTAAATTTTTCAGTCATAGGCCGGCTGAAAGACTGATAGGAGCTCGGCTATCCGCATGTTGTAGCGCGGTTATGTGACTGTGACAGGAGCTCGGTCGACCGAAGGATCCAACCAGAGTGCGGTAATTTTGATTGTCCGAATGTGATAGGAGCTCGGTAATCTAACCATTGTGCGGTTAAGGAATCACAGTAGTAGCTCGGTGATTAGGATGTTTGGGTCGGAGCTCGGCCAATCATATTCATCGGAGCTCGGTAGTCTCGATTTTCTACTGGCGAAATGAGCTCGGTAATTAAGATATTAGGATTGAAGCTCGGTAGACTGTCAGATTGAGCTCGACAGTTCGACTTTTCTGATGGGGGTAGGAGCTCGGCAATTGGGGTATTCCAGTCATAGCCAGGTTTTTCGAATAGATCAATTACAGCTCGGCTTTTATGGTTCGATTTTTGCTCGGATGAGCAGATGGTTCTAATTTTCGGATGAGCAGATGTGGTATTCCAGTCATAGCTCGATTTCTTGCTCGATTTTTGCTCGATTTTCATAGAAAATGAGTTTTTTATTTTCGTAGCTCGTTTTTTGCTCGGATACAATGGACCGAGCAGATTGGTAGGTCGGCTTTTCTGCTTAATTGCTTGGATGGAACTTTGTTGATTTAATTTGTTAATTCTGCTCATAATTACCATTAGCTCGGACACAGAATTGAAATAAATAGCTCGGCTTTTACGATTAATACGCTCGGATGAAGAGTTGGTCCACATAGCTCGGTTTTTCTATTCAGAGGAGAAGCTGATTTTTACAGCTTGGTAATTGACAACAGCTCGGTAAAAGAGATGTGTTGTAAGCCTGTAATGGGAGCTCGGTCATTTTAAAGTGCATGGTTATTTTGCAATGATAAATTGCTTGGAATTCTAGTGGCATTATTTAAAGAGCTCAGCAATTTGGAATTCTAGTGGAATTATTTATAGTGCTTGGTCATTTTAATCATCAAGCTCGGCCATTTAAAGTGCTCGGCAATTTGGAATTCTAGTGGCATTATTTAAAGTGCTTGGCAATTTGCAAATTCTATCCATAGCTCGGCTATTTGAATATTGTAAACACAGATAGGATGTGGAATTATAATAAGAGCTCGGCGATTTTGATATCTAGAACGAAGCTCGGTTAATTTAGCAATTGTTGATATTATCAAACAAGTCTATCTAGTTCAATGAACAATAGCTCATTTGATAATGGGGGGACTAGATGATATAGCATATTAAGAGTAGCTCGGTAGACCGGCAGAGACGGGCTCGATTTATTGAGCCGAAGTAAAATAAGTAGTAAGTTGAGTGGAGGAGCTAATTCGACCATATGAGGAGCAGTTGCTCGGCTTAGTGGATTAGCTGTTGCAGCTCGGCCTTACGGGACCAATTGTAGCTCGGCTTTATGGTTACGCTATTAGCTCGGCTTTATGGTTATGCTAGTAGCTCCGCTTTATGGCAGTTCGGTCTTATAGGGGCACAATAATAGCTCGGCTTTATAGCCACGTTGGCTGCCTTGAGAAGACCTTTGAAGGAAATGACTTATTGATGGCCGAGCATATATGGAAGCTATTAAAAGGGTTCACAGGGGACGCGTGTAAGGCTACGATAAAAAAGGAATAAACGATCCGACGGAGGGAGAGCAAAAGCGTAGGGAACAAGCTAGTAACTTCATATAAATAGGTAAACCATTGGAGGAGGTAAGGATACACATTCTACAAACCCTAAATTCTATACACAGCTTCCTTCTATCTTTGATCTCTTACTGACTTGAGCGTCGGAGGTTTATCGCCGGGAGCACCTCCCGGTGTCTTTGCAGGTCTCTGAGCGGTCGGGGAGCAGAGGGAAGCCGGTTCAAGTGCAAGAGCACATCAGAACCAGTCTTGTTAAATTCCTATATGCTGTCTCATCTATTACAGAGATATAAAATGTGCAAATATATTGGTGGATACAAACGGTTTGGTGAAACTTGCAGATTTTGGTCTTGCCAAGGTTCAATCCCCTTATTCTTTATATTTCTCCTTTCTTATTCACTGTGCTTTTCATGACTTTGAAATTGTTGTAATTTTTATGTGATGGCATAGGCAGTTAAGTTGAACGATGCGAAGTCTTGCAAGGGAACTGCATTCTGGATGGCACCTGAGGTTTGCTCTATACCATTCTCTTTTTTAATTGATAAAGATGGTGAATAACGTTGCAAACCTAATAGGATGTCTTATTTATTGGCAGTGAGGTTAAGCTGCAGTTTGGAAGGCGATTGAACTTCTTTTGTCTTCCATCACTTTGTGTGTATGTGTGTATTCCATTGCTTTTATGTGTGTGTATATATGCAGTTTCTTTGATTTTCTGTGAAACGTAGTCCAGGCTGTTTTCACGTAGTGAGATTCATACAAAATCCATGAATTTGTAAAATGGATAACGAATTCATTTTTCAAAATTTTTGGATCAAAATCTTGCTTCTAATGAAACTATTTGATGCAAAGGCCTTGTGACTTTGAACCAATAAATTGTGGATGGGCCTCCGCGTATTATTTGATCATCCTCACGTTCCATCGACAGCTAACACTTTATTCTGCATCAAAGCTAATGGATGAGGGTAATGCGTAAATAATAAATTTTTATGGTGCAAAAATGAGCAGTGATCAATCTATATGCAGGTTGTTCGAAGCCAGAGTTATGGCCTTGCAGCTGATATATGGAGTCTTGGTTGTACGGTCTTGGAGATGTTAACCAAACGTTTTCCTTATTTTGGTCTGGAATGGGTAAGAAACGAAACTTGGAATTTGAACTTCCTCTATGTTCTGTTAGTACCTGCTTTGTTATGTAAGAATGAATTCTTATATGGTGATTAGCCATGGTGAGTTTATGATCCACATTGTATATTTATATGGTTAATTTGGGGAAATTATGTTCTGAATCATGACCTCAGTTCACTAAATAGTGGCCACCCACATTTACCAGGCTGGTAAAACTAATTAGAACCTTATTGTACACTGTTAGGAATCGGCTAATTACATCTCTATTTAGACAAATTATTGTTATCGACCGTGCTAATTTGTATCTTTTAACTGGTAAAAGCATCAACTAGGTAGGAGACCACGTTACAGGAAAAAAGAATCATGAGAAATAAAAATGATAGGAGAGACCATAATTTCCCCATTCAAAAATATCGCCACTTCACCAATCATAACTTAAAACCTGTCAACAATCATAAAATGCAACTCGATTTCCACCTCATTCAAAAATATCGCCACTTCACCAATCATAACTTAAAACCTGTCAACAATCAGATATATATGTGTATGGCTTACAAGAAAAGGCTTCAAGTTTAAACGGGCTACTAGCGGAAAATGTATTTTTTTAGGGTCAAGAACAAGGCAAAACGGGCTAACAAATAAAACGCCTCAATCATTTTCGCAATTTCAAACTTAAACTTATTCTTTTCAAATAGACTCAAGGCAAGTTCTAATCATTCGAGAATACGACCAATATCTCTCAAGAAAGAAAAGTAAGGATCAAAATCTCACAAGGTAATAAATGTCACTTAAAGCAATCAAGTAAAAATCGAGGCAATGGTAAATACGTCCGTCATCACAACTTTCCAATTTCATCAAACATTTATCAACAACTCATATAATTCATAAATACCACATGCTCGACAACACAACGGCCTACCACATAAACATGCAAACATCCACAGCGGAGTCGTCAACTCCCCCACACTTAAAAATCATGCAATGTCCCCATTGCATCAACACATAAATGAAATAAGAACAAAAACTGGGAATTCAAACAAGAAAAGAAAAGAGTGCAAACCGAAGTAGCCTCGAGGGAAATAAGCATTCACGTTCCAGCCTTCCGCCCCCAATTAACCGGTCCTCGATACGTCCTACCAAGAAAACAAAACTCCACAAACTCTCATAATTCAAAAATAAAATAAAAGGCACAAACAAAACATACAAGAAAGCAGTAAATAAAACTTGAGTTGCCTCCGAAGAAGCGCTTGTTTAACGTCTTTAGCTTGACGAAACCTGTACAAATTAACCAGGATCCAAAAAGAAGTGTCGATCATGCCACACCTTTGTATTCTCCAACAATAGTCCCGTTGGTAGTACGGAACAAACAAATCATGAATTTATTTGTCTCATGCGTTTTGCCTTTTTTTTAGGAAAGTGACGGATTGTAAGGATTTGCAGTTAATATGGACTCTAAAACAACCGTCACTCAATTTATTATTCTTTTGGCAATTGTCGATCCCTAATTTTCTTCGTCTTTCTTCTACACACCAAATTCTTCTTCCGCGGCCCCGACAGCGTCTGCCACGTCGCCACCCCGCCTCTTTCTCCTTCCCCGACGTCTGTCGACTCGCCGTCGTCGGCCTCCTCCCCGTCTCCATCCGACGCCTTACCTCCGTCGGGCATCGGACCTGCGCCCCAATCAAATGGCGACTTCTTGAACGGACTGGGGATGAGAGAGCAATGAACATACTGTATATAACATGATTATGTTATGTATATGTGCACGAATGATATACTTACAGTATATGGGGCTGTAACTCTGTAGTGTTTTCAAGACTGTATATGTGTTATTTATATTTTGTATATGTTGTGTATATAGGTAGTATATTTTCAGTATATGTTTTTTGTAGACACAATCACGTATATGTATATGTATATATATATATATATATATATATATATATATTTATGTTGAGTATATAACCAGTGTTTTGCGCTTTTCTTTTTCATAACATATATACCAGATTAAGATTAAGTTACGAGAATGAGAGAGAGGGAGAGGGAGAAGAGATGAGAGAGAGAGAATAAATGAGAGAGAGAGCATTTTTAGGGATAATATTTTGTTATTAATGTAAATCCATTCAATTATGGTATTTCATTATTATGGTGCAACCCTTCAGTTACGGGATTTAGTTAGAAAACTATATATCAATGCATTGTTTTAGTATCCAGCAACTACCTAATTATTTTGCTTTAATCTGGTACATACGCAAATAATTTTAAAATTATGTAAACTTTCAATTTTTTATGTTCAATCACGGTACATATGCAAATGACCCTATATAAAAAAGTGTTTCGCAATGCAATTAAAAGTGGACATAGTCTAGCTTATGTGGCAATAAAAAAAAAAAAAAAAAAAAAAAAAAAAAAAAAAAAAAAAAAAAAAAAAAAAAAAAAAAAAAAAAAAAAAAAAAAAAAAAAAAAAAAAAAAAAAAAAAAAAAAAAAAAAAAAAAAAAAAAAAAAAAAAAAAAAAAAAAAAAAAAAAAAAAAAAAAAAAAAAAAAAAAAAAAAAAAAAAAAAAAAAAAAAAAAAAAAAAAAAAAAAAAAAAAAAAAAAAAAAAAAAAAAAAAAAAAAAAAAAAAAAAAAAAAAAAAAAAAAAAAAAAAAAAAAAAAAAAAAAAAAAAAAAAAAAAAAAAAAAAAAAAAAAAAAAAAAAAAAAAAAAAAAAAAAAAAAAAAAAAAAAAAAAAAAAAAAAAGAGACCAAGCCTACTCTTGGGTCTATTTTGGACCCAAGTGGGAACCTATACATTCACCAATCATTTAGTTTTATTATATTTTTATTGGTTGTTAGGTATTCTAGACCTAGTACTTTTATTTACATTGGATAGATTTTGGATTATTTTGCTTTGGTTTGCCCATCTCATTATAGACTTAAGTCTATTTATTTGCCACATATGCAAAAAGAGACCCAAAGAATTGTGGGTGCTCTAACGTCAGATTGTACTTGCCTAATCCTGTATTCAGTCATGGTCAACTTTATGTTGTATTATCTAGAGTTAAAAGTAGGAGAGACTTGAAAATTATATGTTGTGATAAGAATGAAAAAATTGTAAACAAAAACTATTAATGTAGTGTACAAAGAAATTTTTCAAAATTTGAAATAATATCGACTTTGGTATTTTCTATTTTTGCACTTTTATACGACAACATGTGTTTTTTCTATTATTTTATGTTTTATATATTTTTTTTCAAACAACTCGTGTAGTACACGAGTGTCGTACTAATTAATCTTTTAAACAAGGATAAATTCACAGCAATTAGTATTTAGTATTTCTAGAACAATTTCAGGAATTTTAAATCCATACTATGGCATTCAATATATATATAACGTTAGATTCATTTGAAAATTCCATCTACAATGCACATATTTAGCAATTCAAGTGAAGTGTATCCATCCCTAAAAAACTCGAAAACAAATGTAAGAAAAATAACCCCCAAGAATAATATATATTAAATATTGAAACGGGAAATACACAAGTCTTAGAACACGGATACTATTCTGGCAGTGAGCACCAGAAAAACCAGTCTTGTAATGGCCAAAAAAAAAGAAGAAAAAAAGCAGCAGAAGAAAGAAAAAAAGCTATAAAGACTTGGAGGCAGGAAGTGTCGTAGGCCAGGTGGGAAGCATCATAGGAGTGCACACAAGACGCTCATCCATATACCACGCAAACTCACTAAGATTAATGTATTCTTGAAGCACACCTAATATCTCAACGGTTCCATCCGTTAATTTATATTCAACAATATTTCTACCCCACACCAAAATGAGTGCTTCATTATTCAATGGATGAGTAAAACCACCCACAAACTCCTCCGCCGCCGCCTCCTCGTTGATGGGATCTTTCAAATTTTTTCTGTCCTCAACTAGAATCCACTTACTACAATTATTTAATCTCCACACCTTAAGATTAATCATTCCTTTCACTATGGTGGAAACAAATTGTAGCAACCACAATTCACCACTCACAACCCCAATCTGACTTTTGACGTGATCACCCTTAATTCCACTTCTCTTCTGACTTTTCCGTACATCCGTTGCACTCATCGGGTGCCACCAATAATCGTCAGGAAAGTCTACAATACCGACTTTACTTTCATTTCGCAAGTCTAATGAAAGAACCCTATCCATATTATAGTCTTGCTCCAACCAATACACGACTCCAGAGATTGGGCACGTAATCATTTCTACCCAATAAACCCACCATCGGTCACGGGTCGTCGGATACTCCAAGCATTTACTTTCCCACGTTCCTGTCTTGGAAGAAAATATCCTCACTTCGCTATAAACACGGTGGGAAGATATTTCATCTTCTTCCACAATTGGAAGCGGCATATGAGACTTATCAAGAACAACGACCTTAAATTCGTTGTCAGGCATGCATATTAATGCCTGACCAACAGTATACAAATCCCGAACAGTTGGAGCTATCTTCGGGAGCCGATGAAATTGTCTTGTTATTGGATTGCAAATGTAGTAGAGATGTTTCCAACAGCTGAGATGAGGGGAGACAAGCAATAAATCATTGCAGGATGCTCTTATGGCCATTGGCGAAGGCAAGAAGTCCAAATAATTAGTAGCAGTATTTGATGTTTGACGAAGAAACATTGAGTCCTGTGAAGAAAGCTTGCAAATTGGTTGAAAATGTGGGAGAGTAAAGCGCTCGTTAAGATAACCCAAATAATAGGCTCTATGAAATATGATTGTGCATGGTTGTGGATAGCGGTCCTTGTGTTCATTATGATGTGATATGAATCTACTAATAGAACGTGGCCTCGAAATTAAAGACTGCCACTTGTGACAGACAGCGGCAAAGAGAATGGCAGACCGATAGTTCGGGAGGCGAACAAATATCTCCAACAGTATGTCTTCATCTACTTCTTCAAGAAAACGGGATACTGCCACATGCAAGATGGAGAAATATGTAGTTAGAATGCAAGTAAAATGGCATAATATTTATTAATATAGGCATGTGCTTACGTGGTTTTAAATCGTGATGCTCGTTCTTAATGCGCCTAACCAATCTCTTTCGCTTCCTCTGCCAGTTAAACAAGCATGAGTAATATACACTAAAGCAGGCGTTGTATGAGTTATATAAACAAAATATTACACTAAAGCAGGCGTTCTGGTAAACAAGGCTGAAGAGATAATTTCTATTATGTGGACTCATCAGGCGTTGGAGCATCGACTTATCCTTTAACCCATCTGACTTTTTCTATTTTCCTTGATTAATGAAAGATCATCCCAAAACGGAAGAACTTCATATATTGAGTCATGGCATTATCAAAAGTTTCTATTACACAAATAATAACTTTAGTACTTTTTGTATTTCAATTCTTTTTGGAAGAATCTAATCTTCAGTTTAACAGAAACTTTCTATTAAGCCATGACACTTTTACAAGTTTCTATTACATCTCTGAATAGTAGAAAAAAAAAAATGTTGTGCTACAACTCTTTAATGAACTCAGGAAATACCATCACTGAAAGGCATGTTATCAAAAAGAGGAAAAAACATGGATTTTCTAACTCATAAAAGCTGTAAAAAACACATAGGCACAAGTAGCAAGTAGGGCTGTTAACGAATCAAACGTTCGTGAACAAAAGGTTGTTCGCTCGTTCATGTTCGACAAGAGCTCGTTCGTTTTTTAATCAAGCCGAGTTCGACCAGAAATTTAGGCTCATTTAATAATAGAACGACCAGGAGCTCGTTATTTATTTTAGTTTTTTATTTTCGAGGCCAAACAAACAATTTACGAGTTAATCAATCATATTTTAAAAGTTAAATTATCCGTTGCTCGAAAAATAAACGAACAAATACAAAGTGCTTGAATGCAAACGAACACGAGCTCAAAATGCCCAAACTCGGCTTGTTCAGTTCGATTACAGCACTAGGGACAAGGACAAGAGCACTATTACATCAATATCGAAGGGATCTTAGTATTAGTACCAGAAACTGACTCAGAAGCCCCTATGGACCAACCCATTTAACCGACCGTAGGGCAGAATAAAACAAACATACACAAAGTTGCAGTATGATTGAAATCAAAACAAACAAACACAAAGGAAGGAATCAAACCTGAATTGAGTATGATATCATCTTATTATCTGCGAATGAAGGAAGGGAAAAGTCAGACTCAAAAGAAACTCGACGGAACCCACAAACAACAAAAACAAAGATTGCGAAAAACAAAAGTGTAAACCTAAATCGAGAGAGAGAGAGAGAGAACCCAGAGGGGCGATGGCGATTTGGGACGGTTTGTTGAACTAGGTCTAGGATAATTGTTGATATTTGGAAAAGGGCTGTGAACTTGTGGGCTGCGTGCCCACCTCTTACCACTCGTGTATTTTCTTTCCTGTTAGGACGAGGAAATGAGTTGTGAAGTAACCTCACAAAGTCAACTAGTTAGAATCCGTGTAAGAATTATTAATTACTATTTATATATTTAAAATACTCATTAAATAATATTATATAAATAAAAAAATATGAAATTAATATGTAATACAATTTACCTATATTATTATATTAAAAATATTAAATAAAATTTAAATTGTGTTGAGCTACATAAAACATGTATATTTAAAATTAGTACACAATTCATGCGTGTACATTTAGTACTATATAATGCTCTATCGTTTCGGAAAAAAATAAAAATAAAAAAGAAATCTAAAGGAACCAATTCCTTGGTGTACTTCTCTGAAAGTGGGGAATCAAAAGGTGATGGTAGCATTTAGATATGAAAGGTTTGTCAATCTATGCTACTGTTGCGGAAAAATAAGACGTCTAGACAGGGGGTGTAAGAACGGAGCAGAGGACAAAGGTAGCCAACCTCAGCAGAATTCAAATCAAGAGTCATTGGTGTCTGCTAGCACTGTACCTCGTAGAATACCGCAACCCCAGATGGAAACTAAATGTATGAATACTGAGAAGCATAGTTGAGCAAACATGGACGATGTTGTACCACGAATTCTAGAATCGCTCTTCTGTCCTCGAACTGGATTAATTCTCCTTGATCGCCGGTACCTGCAAAACACGCTGGGGGTGGTCCCGGCGTGGACAATCCGACAATAGGGTTTCGAAGGGAGATAATGCGGTATTGAAATTACCCATATGTGTTGTAGCGCCCCTTTCGAATAATAGAATTTATATAATTATTTAGATTTTATGAAATTTCATGGTATTATTTTATTTCGGCTATTTATGATTATTCCTCAATTAAAGCCATCACATTATATTGTCTTAAAGATAATATAATGTCCCGTTCGTTTATTAATTTTTTTAAAAATATTATATAATTATTTATATGTGTGAAGTATTAAAATTATTTTGAGTTAGAATTTTAATTGTTCGGCGATTTTCGGTTTAATCGCGTAAATCAATTTTAATCCGTTTTGATTCGTTTCAAGCCATTTTGACCCGAACTTTGAATTTATTCTTTCGACCCAAGTCAATGCTAAATTCGATCCATTTTAGCTCACCTAACCGGCCCAAATAATTTAATTGTTGGGCCCTTTGTAATTGAAATTATTAGCACCTATTGCAAATTAGGAATTCCAAAAATCTGGGCTATTTTGGCTAGATGTTTCTAGCCCAATTATTAGCAACCCTAAGCCCAACTTTTCCCTTTTAAACGCACGCAAGCCCTCAGCCCTCTCTCCTTCGTTTTCTCCACACGCGTTTTCTCATCGGGAAGAACCAGATCGAGAATTTCCATCGATCTCTCCCTCATTATCAAATCTCTCTCTCGCAAATTCGCAGCAACACGGGAGATTTCTCTCCAAATGTTCTCGATCAGTCGCATCAGAAAGCTTATCTCTCTCAAATTCTGAAAAATCATCTCCTAAATCACCCCACTGGAATCGTCCTCATCTCCTCCGCCTTCCAGCCACCGCAAACTGAGTCGCCGGCGTTAACAGCCGCAACCAATTAACGATATCCGGCGACCACCACCCTGAACAGAACACGTCACAACATCCTCATATCAGCCGAGGAGAAGTCCGCGAGTAGAAATCCACGACCACCACGGGATCGAACCACCGAGTCTCTGTTCATGTCATGAGCCGTCCAGCGGGAGCCGCCACTGTGAACAGCCGCGACCCGACAGTCAACCATCGTCGTCGAACCACCAGCGAACCCCGACCACCTCCGAGCAGTCCCGACCGTGAGCCCTCCTCGCCAGCAGCAGACCGTCACAACCAACTCGCGCTCCCTTCCTGTTCACAGGCAGCGTGTCCGCCATAACCAATGAGCTCAAGCCGCCGTCGACCGTCGAGCCATCCGTCGAGGCGAGAATCCGCAGAAGCTCATTGCCGGTTTGTTTTCGAGCATCTCGTAAGTGCGTGGGGAGCCCGATACAGCTGCGGCAGCCTTTCGGGCCCGTGCGGGAAGAGCAACGGCACGTTTTCCCAGAAACGAGAGCCGACCATGTGCAGCCCTAGCACCGACGAACCCGTCTGTGGTCTGTACGCGAGTGGCCGAGGTCCGCTTTGTCCCGCTTAATTTCCCGACTAGAGGTGAATTTCGTAATCCTCTTGTTAATTCGTGAGTTTAAATCCTGGATATGTGAAGTTCGGATCTTTATGAGTAGAGGTTTAATTGTTTGTGCGATTAATTGTTGAGTTTCCGAATCCATTGCCTTGACTGTTGCGAAATTGTGTTATTACTTGCTGTAATGGCTGATATATTGTATTTAAAAAGGTTCAGTGAAGATAATGTATGGTGACATGCTATGAGGTGTTTTAATCTCACTGTGATGTATTGTTGTTGAAGTTATTATATGTGTTAAAGGCTGTGATTATGTGCATTTCAGAGTCCTTAAATCTCAGTTCTAAGGCCTTGGAGTGTGCTTAAATGTTGAGAAAATAATGATGAAAAGAGAAGGTTATATCATGTGTTTGCATGCTTTATTTGATTTCCTTTATGCTGAGCATTATGTGAAAATGTCATGCTGAAATTCAAGAGTACTTAGAGCTTATTATCTCATTATATTCGGCCTAGCATGTGGTTTAAGTATGTAGAAAATAAAGAGGATTAAGGCTTGTTCAGGTTATTCAAATGCATGGATGTTTGCACCTTGCTGTTATGTTGTATTATATCCTGAGTTGTTCATTTTTTTTTTTATTATTTCTTAGAAGGGATTTTATTTAAGAGCACTGTACCCCAGTTAGTCAGAGCCTTCATTTTCATGTTAAAGCCTTTATTTATTTACTTATTTATTTATTTATATATATGCTGTGAAAATGAGAAAGTTATAGGTTCTGTTATGTGAATTACTCTGAACTTGTGTTTTGCCACGTTACTAAGCTTAGGCTATATATTTAGCATGCTGTTATCAAGTGGCTTTAATGTGTATATAGCTATATTTGTGTATATGTGTAGTAGTTGTTTTGTTCTGTGCTTGAGCCTAATTTTGCTAGACTTTATTGAGAAGCATGTTGTTTTGTGCAAAATCCAAGACCATTCTTTTGAGCCTTTTTCCTAGTCTAAGAGTTCCAAACTCCCACTAAAGGACCCATGAATCACTTAGTCGAAAATGTTCGGCTAAGTGAATGTGTTGTTAATGTCTTAAGTGTCGAAATAGTTGTTGATAGGACTATTCTTGATGAATGTAGGTGTTTGACGAGCCGTGCTCTCATTCCTACCAGCTTTTGTGTGCTATCTACTGCTTCGGTATCCAGGTGGGTTAGTTATTCTAAAATGTCTATGCATGTGTGTTTTAAATGTGTTGAATTTGGTATGATCTATGTATGCATGTGAGCATGTAGCCTATCGATGTGAGCTGATACGGCCATCGGTATGGTTGTCCCAGTCGAGTTACGGTATGGTTGCCCTTACGAGGCAAATATCCTTAAGTCCTAATGAAAGGCCGTGTCCTTACGTGGCACGCACTCCCGTGTCCTTACGTGGCATGGCTAAGCGTAGATGTGCACATGAGTGAGTCATTGTCGTATTGACTAAGAGATGAGACATATTGTTATTATTGTTTATGTTCATGCTGCGACCATACCATCCTAACATATTTTTATATTGATCATATGCATAGTGGTGAGTACTATATTTTCCAACTGTACTCACTTCCACTTGCTCTTCACGGATGCAGGTTAAGCAGTTGGCGGATGACGAGACAAGGCGAGTGGGTGGTCTTGCTTATTTATTTATGATTTTTATTTGCTTCCGTAGTATGAAACTTATGATGGATTATTTGAACTTGTTGGTTGGTTTGACTTTGAAGACTCGTTGGATCGGTTTATGTTGAAAACCTTTCTTTGTTATTCATGATTTTGTGGTTAAAAGAATATCATAATGTTTATTGCTTATGTTGTTGAGATTATGATTAATAAAACCTTTGAAAAACCGAGTAATGAATTCCTGTTAGTTCAGACACGACTTGAACTATGTTTTGAATTAAATGAGTAACGCTGAAATGTTTATGAATCGAAAAATGAACTTCAAAAATTTTATTGTTATTTTTGGAAAAGTCATGGATTTTCTTTAAAATCAAAGTGGGGCGCTACATGTGTGTTCTTGTGTAAAAATCTAGAAGAACCTATCTCTTTTATAGGCATAAAGAGTCCCCGAATGGCAGTACTTTTGGTGTGACTAGAGTCCTCCTCCTGGTCGTCTCTCCACTCATTTTACACTATCGTTATAGGGTTTTTATTCACATCCAACTTTTTGAGCTAATCAATCCTTGAGAGTCCCACTTTTGCACGGGACTCGCCACCTTAGCTCCTCCGTCAGTTGGTAGCTCGACAACCGATATCCGAGTTCCCCTTGATTATGCCGAACTACTATGCTGGACTACCCTGGGAGGCCCACACCAAGTGCCGGCTTCCCCATCCACATTGGAACCACCCAATTTTCTGGAGAACATGCCAAGCTTATCATCCTTCCCCACATCACGGCAAACTCCACTGAGCTGCTAGTCTAAGCTGGTCACATGCAATAAGATCTCTCCTCCAAGTCGGCTGGACGAGCTTACCCTCAATATTTACGAGCCATACTTTAGATGCTGTATCATCTAGCCCCACAGTTTTTGGTGACGAGCTATTGCAGCTCGATCAGAAAAAATACTAAACTATTCTGGAGAGTCAAAACCTACGCCTTTGCTCGTGCGTGGCACCGCCTCTAGAAATTCCCTTCCCTCGAATCTGAAGCGATACGTCAGAATCTCTGATGTGCACCATCATTAACCCCAGGCATAATGATGGACATATTCCGTATCCCGAACCTGACGTCACCTCCATCATGGACTGAATTGAGATGGACAACCGTGATTAGCCGCCCTTTCATTAGATAGGCTGACGAAAGTCGCACATTTTATGCCTGTGACGATGACCATGTCGATGGATCAGATGGCCGAGATATATACCCGTGGGATCATTCGACTCCACGGAGTGCCTGTTTCGATCATATCCGATCGAGATCCCAGATTCACCAGCAGATTCTGGGAGAGTTTGCATGAGGCAATGGGCACCCAGTTGAAGTTTAGTTCGGCTTACCATCCAGAGACAGATGGCCAGTCCGAGAAGACGATCCAGACGCTCGAGAATATGCTCCGAGCCTTGATTCTGGATAGAGGTGCTAAGTGGGAGAAGTGGTTGCTAATCCTTTGCACGCACGCCTTCTATCCGGACCGTAGATGAGACTTCAAAATTAACGGCCACGATTGGCCGACCTTCCCTATACTTAACTCTCCTATTTTAGTATAAATACCAGAGGCCACAACCTCTTCACTTTTACCTAAAAATTTTCCTTGCTGCAAACCGGTACTTATTTTCGGCATTCTTCTTCTCCGACAAACTTTCAACAGTTAACAACAGTCTTCCACCACCGCGACCATGTCTTTATTTAGTAAGCACCCCCGTTTTTGTTGTTTTTTGTTTTAAGCGAAATTTTTGTATATTCTTAGGTCAACTTACTAATTTACATACTAATTTATGAATACTGTGTGCCCCAACGCCAATAGAACACCTCGTCCCCTCGACTAATCTGAATTCATACTCCCCCTCAAACTCAGAACCCCAGGGCGAATCGTCCATGAACGTGGCTTCAACGAGGATGACTCCATCTTCGGCCACCACTAACAATAAGGGTAAGGCCGTAGCCCCTGACGCCTCTGCCATTAGGTCGGCCACTCCCAATCCCCTTACTTCTTACTCTACTGATAAAATAACCAGAATTTTTGAAGAAATTGAACTCCCATTGTAACGCCCCACTTATATTTGCCGAAATTCAGAATAAATTTTTCAAAATTTATTTCAAAACACTTGAGGCGCTACTCATTTCCAAAAACAATATCAACAATATCATAAATACAACTCCCAAACGGGTTCAATAATCATGCCAACATCCAAACCGGGTTTATAATCATGCCAACACCCAAACCGGGTTCATAAATAACATCAACTCCCAAAACTGGGTTCGTCGAATTCATAAATACTAGGGAGTACACTCCCTATCAATAATCCGGTACTTATCGTAAATCAGAAATGCATAAATGATACTAAGCAATTTAAACAGCGGAAGTAATCAGTAACATGACCACCACTCGCCTCCCTCTGTCGTGCCCGCAATTACTAACCTGCATCCATGAAGAACAGGTGGGGATGAGCACAATAGGAAAATTGAGGTGCTCACCGCTAAACAATAATTAATATTCAATTTTATAAAATAAAGCAGGTATGGTTGCAGTATGAATACAAATCAATTAATATCCCATCTCCTATCCCAGAGTCAACCCTCATGTGCACACCTATATCAATAGACCACTGCTGATACACGTATCGAATGCCCCTCGGG